GGAGACAGGCTATGGCCTTTGTGCGCAATGGCGACAAAGGTCCCACGACGACAACCAAATCAACGATGGACAGTTTAGTGAAAGCGATATCGTTGCCAAGACCGGACCTCCAACCATTCGACGGAGATCCAATAAGGTATTGGCCCTTTATACGGGCCTTTGATGTATTAATGTCAGATGTTAGTGACGATAATTTTAAACTAACAACTCTTATGAAGTATTGTAGAGATAAGGCTTATGATGCCTTGCAATGTTGTCTCATGCGAGACCCTTCAGATGGTTATAAACTGGCTAGGGAGATCCTATCCGAACGATTTGGGGATAAGGGTACAGTAGTACAAACTTGGGTTGCAAAAATTGTTAACCGCCCTAAAGTAGATGTTGCTCATTTGAGACAATTCTCCGATGATCTGTCTTCTTGCAGGGAGACATTAGATGCTATGGGTTTTGTAGGTGAGATTGATAATCAAAGAGCCTTGAGAACAGTTATTGATAAGCTACCACGATATCTTCAGACAAGATGGGTTAGGGAGTACCAAAAAATTAAATCCAAGGGCAATCAACCTAACATAGGTGATGTTGTAGATTTCATTAAGTCAGCTTCAAAGGAAGCTAATGATCCAGTTTTTGGTAGTCTAATTACAGGTAGTGCGATAAGTTCTACTTCTAGTAATGATAAGAGTACTGGTAAGCAATTTAAGAGTATAAAAGGTACTTATGCTGTTGATGTAACACAAAATGTTTGTTGTCCGATGTGTACTAACTCACACTCTTTTTTCAACTGTAAATTATTTAAGGAAAAGCCAGTAGAAGAAGGATTGGCGTTTGTAAAATCTAAACATCTCTGCTGTAATTGTTTAAGGGCAGGGCACGGCGCATTTCAGTGTTCCCTTACGAGAACTTGTTCTGTTGCGGGTTGTGGAAGGAAACACACAAAGTTTCTTCATCTTGGGAGGTCGACGCCTGAAGATTTTAAGGGTTTTTATATCGATTTTGATTACCACAATTACTGTATGTTGTTTATGTTGCATTTATAGTTTTGTAATTAATTAGTTAATCATTCATTGCTTTAAATTTACATTATTATTGATAATTATTTGTTTAGTTTTAACATAAGGTTAAATTACTTGTTATGAGTATATCCAATGTGGAAATTATTTTCATGTTTATATTTTTGTATCTTTATATTATAGTCACCAACAATTAACCAACGGATGAAGTTCACGTGTTTTGATTGTAAATAAATGTAAATATTGTACAGAACTTACTACGTCGTGTTAATTTGCTTGCGTCGATTGATTTAGCCACAACGCCACCTAGCGAACGTGCGGCGTTCGTTACACCATCGTTTTTCGAACATGTATCAACGATTCTAAACGGATTTAGCTGTGAATCAATAATTTTTGGGGGAGATTTTAACCTTGTGCTAGATACCAATATGGACAAAATGGGAGGTAGAGTCCACACGCACTTAAATTCACAAAAATGCATAAAGTCAACCATGAAATTCTTTGATTTGATTGACATATGGAGGGAAAAAACCCAAATTCGCGTAGGTACACCTGGCGATCATCTAAACCAATAATTCAGTGTCGTCTGGATTTCTTTCTTATCTCATACAACCTTTATACTCAGATTAATTCATGTGAAATTTTTAGCGGTTATAAACCTGATCATTCAATTATTAGCTTAGATATTACTCCTGTAAACGGGGCCAGAGGAAGAGGATTTTGGAAATTCAATACAACACTCCTGCATGACCCATGTTATGTTGATAAAGCAAAAAATTGTATTAGTGATACTAAATTGAGTAACCCAAATTTAAACCCAAGTCTATTCTGGGAATTTCTGAAATTCAAAATTAGGTCGTTAACGTTACAACACTTTTCTGAACTAGCTAAAAAGCGTAAACAAAAAGAAAATAAATTGCGAGAAGAATTGAATGACTTAGAAAAAATATATTGCACAAACCCGTCCAAATACTTAAATCTTGAGACTATTTATGAGCATAAAACCAAGGGTGCACAGATACTGTCTCGCGCAAAGTGGGTTGAAGAGGGCAAAAGTAACACCCGTTTCTTTATCAATTTGGAAAAAAGAAACCATGAGTCAAAAAATAATAAAGGAAATTGTCCGAGATGATAATACCATTATAACTGAGCCCAAGGATATTTTGGAGAAGGAGAAAGAATTTTACCAAAAACTCTATCAGTCTGAGAATCCCCCGAACCTGATATTGAAGGTCTTCTTTTGCAAAATGAAAACCCTACAAAATTAAATAAAGAGGAACAAAAATCTTGTGAAAATAAAATTACAGTGAGTGAATGTCCCTTTGTACTAAAATCAATGCCAAATAATAAATATCCTGGGTCCGATGGACTGCCGACCGAGTGGTATAAATTTTTTTTCAATGATATCGTCGATTCGTTGATTGAATCCTGTGAGTATTCATTTAATAAAAGTATTATGTCCACCAATCAACGCAGAGGCATAATTAATCCAATACAGAAAAAGAACAAAAATCTCTGTTATTTAAAGAACTGGAGGCCAATTACATTGCTTAATACTGACTACAAGCTAAAAATACTCGCAAAAAGAATTAAAGGAGTACTTCCAAATATTATAGATGCTTCTCAAACAGGTTTTTTAAGAGACTGGTTTATTGGAGAAATATCCGAACTACTCTTGATGTTATTCAGTATTTAAATGAAAAAGAATTGGACGGTATGATTTTCATGGTCGATTTCCAAAAAAGGGTATGATAAGCTTGAATGGCCGTTTATTTTTAAAGTACTAGAACATTTTAATTTTTGAAAGAGTATTATCAGGTACATTCGAGCCCTCTACTCGGATATCTCTTCATGTATAATCAATAAGGGACACTCAACTTTCTTTTTTTTCCGCTTAGTCGAGGGCTCCGACAAGGGTGCCCGCTTAGCCCCTATCTTTTTATAATATGTATCGAAATTCTTAATATTAATATCCGAAAAAACGAAAATATAGAAGGCATTACAATAGAAAACATTTCTGTCAAAATGCACTTGAGAAATTTAAGCACTGTTCAGGGTTGGCTATTAATTTTGACAAATCTGTGGTGCTCCCATTTGGTGTATTTAAAAAAACCCTCCAGACATTTCATACACGGGGCTAGGTTTTACTGAAGGTCCAGTAAGTATGCTTGGCGTTACTTTTTCTGCAAATGTGAACGATTTGTTCGAATTAAATTATATTCCTAAGTTAGAAAAACTTTTAAAAAATGCTTAGCTTATGGTCCATGAGAGATTTAACACCAATTGGAAAAATCACTATTGTTAAATCTCTTGGCATATCTCAATTTGCATATCTATTTTCTGTTTTGCCTGATCCACCAAACAAATTTATCAAATACCTCGAATCCATTATGTTTAAGTTTATATGGTCAGGCAAACCACACAAAATCAACAGAAAAACATTTATTGGAGACTATGTAGATGGAGGGCTTAGGATGTGTCATTTACATTCAGTAGTAAAGGGGTTAAAGATAACATGGATCAAACGATTGCTTAATGACAAAAATAAGGGAGTTTGGAAGGTATTTTTTGCACTCCATATGAGAAATTTAGGTGGAAATTTCTTCTGGCGATGTAATATGAAATCAAACGAAAAATGTATAAGTAATATCAGAAATCAATTTATGAGAAATGTGGTGTCAGCATGGTGTGATATTACCTTCGAAACCCCTCTTAACCGCTTTGGTAAACAAATTCTATGGAATAATTCGGAAATTAGAATTGGAGGAAAACATATGTTTAATCAAAAACTATATAAAAGGGCATTCAGACTCTTGCAGATATCACGCATGTTAACGGTGTAATAATATGCTATACCGACTTCGAAAGAATATATAATATAAAAGTTAATAACCTATATTTTTTTTAGGATACTTTCAGTTCAGGTTTTTACATCGAATTCTGCCGGTAAATGATTTTCTTTTCAAAATAAATATTATACAATCTGAAAAATGCACTTTTTGTCATTTAGAGACCGAAACAATTTCTCACCTTTTCTGGGACTGTACAATCACTATTAATTTCTGGAAATAAATTAACAAGCATTTTTTATTAGATGGAAGTGAATTGTCCTACAAAGCTGTTTGTTTTGGTTCTCATACTAATGTTCCCATAAACTTGGTAGTTTTACATGCAAAGTATTATTTATATATATATGTCGATGTAAGAATAAGAAGCCGACAAATTTTGGAATTCAAACAGAAACTCTCCTTTGAAAAAGCAGTTGAAAAGCATATAGCTGACCAATATCATTATATATATATATATTATTATATGAATAAATGTAGTTGGCAATACTAGCAACGTATAGTGCTCGATACACGTGATAATGCAGAGCGTAAATATTGAAAGTATTGAAAGTATTGAAAATGTAGAACTTGTAGAACTTGTAGAACTGGGTATTATCACTCTACAGACTGTTTCATGCTAATGCAATCTTCAGGAGTGAGAGAATACAAGGGTTGTGCGAGTATATGAATGCTAAGACAGGTGAAAATGCAAATGAGTTAATTGTTTTTAAGGTGGTATTTGTTGCTGTGCCTGCATTTAGACAATAGCTCGGTTCTTTTGTTTAGTGTTGACTGTTTGTCTGAATATATTATGTGAAGTTTCTCGGTTATGCATAAGTTGCAGCGTTTTGTTTTTGGGGAGTAAGCCGATGCTCTGTCGATGATAGACCATTTAATGTTGTAGGGTGTGTTGCGATCTTTCAATTTCCATACGTATTTGGAGAGTACGGTGCTGTTTCTGTGTTTGGGGGTATTAAAAGTGTATTTGTGGTTTGTGAGCCCGATGTAGCATTTTTTGTCATCATCTGAGTAGACAGTGGCTTTGTAGATGATGGATGAGGTGAGGCAATTTCCAGAGAGTGGACATTCATCTTTTTTCCTGCAATTGCAGAGAGTTTTTTGCTGTTGTTGCTTAGCAACCAGAAGCTGTTTGTTGTGGGCTTTGATTATACTGCCCATGTTTCTTGAGCAGCTATAGCTGACTTTGACATTGTTCTTGTTAAAGAGCTTATGTAAAATGTTGCCACTCGGGAAATGCTTTTTGACCAGGTTAAGGAATGATTTTCCGATGTTGGTTTTCACTCCTTTGCTGAATGGTGGGTTGTACCAGATTATTTGTCTGCTATTTTTCTTTGAAGATTTTGGTTGTGGAGGCTGGTATTCCATTTTGTGCTGGAATCCGCTGTTTTGTAGTGCTTGTTCGTAGTCAGGGGCGGCCTGGTCGAATGATTCACTGGAATCCGATATATTCCAACAATTAACCAGCGGATGAAGTTCACGTGTTTTGATTGTAAATAAATGTAAATATTGTACAGAACTTACTACGTCGTGTTAATTTGCTTGCGTCGATTGATTTAGCCACAACGCCACCTAGCGAACGTGCGGCGTTCGTTACAGCCATGAATAACACCTTTTTTGCATATAAATGTTAAAAAATAGCAACAGTTTAATCAATAAAATCAACATATCACTCATTTATTAATACTAAAATAATTTATTTGTTGCCAATTTCACGGAAGCGGAATCACAATTGTCCAGAAATTCAATCCAGGTATTGCTAAACTCCGCATAAATGGGTTGATATGAACATCAAATTATTTGTTTTTGTTTTTAAAGAAAAAGAGAATAATAATAATAATAAATACTTAGCCATAACAGCCGCCAATACAAAAAAAGATCTATTAATTAATTAATCAATCAGCTAAAAACTAAGTTATTTTAGTTTTCAAATATGCGTATGGGTTTTGTTGATTTATTAATTTAATTTTTGCTACAGAGAATTTTACAGCATTTAAAAAATTAATTATTTATTGAATTTTATAATTGGCACCATTTTTTATTTATTGATTCAATACTTGCTATTTTACAGCAAAAATTACTTTTTGAAAGCGTACTTTTCAAGCCATTGAAATATCGGCACACACGTTTTTGTTTGATATTTTACAGTTTGTTCAACTATATTGTTCATGTTTTTGAATCACCTCAGGTGATCATACTTCATGAAAGCGTTTTAGATTTAGTTTCACAGCAAGTAGGTAATTATTATTCTATTGTTGTGAACAGTGGCGTAACTAGGTTATGAGGGGCCCTGGTTCAAGTGTACAGTCGGGGCCCGGCCCCTGGTGCATGCAAATTGACCACGATGTCAACTAAGATGTGTACCACCGATTTTAAGAGCCGGCTATTGGCTGAACTGACCATAATAATAAGCACTTCCACTTCTTATGTTCGATATTTTATTGAATTGATGTTTTTTATTAGGTTAAGCAATGAAAAATGTTAACAATTATCTTGTATACAGTATTAGTTTTATTGACTTAAGCTAACTAAACGGAAATGGATCACACCTGATATCATTAGATTATGTAAACGCCTTAAATAATCATTTATTTAGAAATAAATGCAAGAGTAAAAATTAATTTGAAAATCCAAGTCAGATTATTTTTATTAGATGAAAACAGATACAAACAAGACCACAAAACGTTTGTATGTTGAAAAGAAAAAACAAAAATTCAAAAAATATTCATCCAAATCTTGATTGTGAAAGTTTAGAGATTATTTTATTAATGAACAGAAATTTCAAACTCAATTAAAGAAGACTAATCTCAGTGGTATGCCACATAGCCAAAACTGTTCAAAAGCAAGTCCAAGATCAAATTAGTATATATCTTGATGAAAATGACCTTATAAATGTACCAATATGCTTTTAGAAGATAGGCATACCACTCAAACAGCTATATGCCTCAAATTGCTATGAATCTTTTTCTTATGGGTGCTAGGGCCGCATGCAGGATTTGGCAATAGGGGTGCGTGAGAGTTCACACCACCACAGCTCGACTGTGGTTAGAGCTGAGTTGAGAATATGGACCTCTGGTTCTCAGAAATGCACACCTTCCCCCTGCATCCACCCCTGAGATGATATACATGAGTTCATACTCCTTTGAGCATATTGGTTTATTACTTAACGATACGATTTTCGTGTATAATGGTGAAAGTCGGAGACTTGAACGTTCCTTTCGTGGCCCCTTGGCTGAAAGGAAGCAAATAGTGAAATATTGCACCAAAACCAACGGATTTGGTATACCACAAGGTGGTGTTTTTTTGTTAATAATAAATGATAGGTATATTTCAAAATGTATTTGTCCTGATACTTGCAGTATTTTTGTGGATGATGTTGCTATTTATGCCTCAGGAACAAAAGTTGATGGATTAAATACAATAATTTAGAAAATATTGGTAAATGGTATGTTGGAAATAAAGTTGAAAATAAATGTAGTTAAAACAATAGTCATGCTAATTACAAAACAAATTATACTTTCATCTGATGTCCAGAATATTCATGTCGACGGAAAACGTATCGAACAAGTAAAACATATAATATATTTTAGTTTAGAGATATAGTACGGAAACATGCGATTATCATAATACGACACATCCGTTTGAAGCTTCAAGATTCATAACCTAAAAAACTGTCCGAAACATTGCACCAATATCTACTTATTACATAAATAACCGAACCATGTATAGATAATGCAATTTCGGATTTTGGAAACACATCCAAGTAAAATATATTGTAAAAAGAATTAAGCCTATATAAACAAAATTTTGATTACAAAAACTGTACTGGCGAAAACATAATTCGACAAGTAAATTCATGTTTAATGTACAAATGCTATATGACGTATGAATGTTGTTGCACTGTAGCGCCATCCCTCTTTTTTTGCTATTTCCATCTAATGTTCTAGTGACAATTTTTACAACAGGCATAGAGGCAGTGGCGGCGACAGCTGTGGATGGCAGCAGGGGCTTAAGCCCCCTCCCCCACCGGACAGGTCTAGTCAAGGGCGTCGATCCTTAGTTAAAACTGGGGGTTTTGGACGAAATGTCAAATAAGCAAGCCTTGGTTGGAGACCAGGGGCTGCTCAGGGCCCCGGTTAGGGCCCAGGGGGCGAAGCCCCCGGAACCCCTGCGCCTATAGCCTTTTATAAGTTGATTCTAATGGAATTTAAAGAGTGCAATTAACTTTTATTTTCAAAATACAGTGGCAAATCCATGAACTTGATATAGAGCTAGGCCCAAGGAGGGACGTTTACAGATGAGGTATAGAAAATTTATGATTTTGGAACCTCTAGTTGGCCGGAAATAGCTCTCTCAGTCTAAATTTGAATAATTTTCATTTTCTCCACTTGGCCCCTTGAATCTGCCACTGAAATACTCCTCATAAAGTTTTAAAATTATCCTGGTAATCATAATTATGCCCGCTTATATATTTCATGCAAACTATCATTTATAGAAAATAATTATTTATTATCTACTGATAAGCCTGTACAGTACTTATAAAATCAATCAAGAGGTTTTTCCTTTTCTCCTCGTTATGAATTTCACTTAGTTCTTCACATTTTGACTTCACAAACATAAAGGTGATTTACTTAGTTTATTATTATCTGGGGCGGCTCCAAGAAAGCGAAATAGAGGGGGAGATTAAGAGACTTTCACTGTATGGGAAACTAGATCAACCATCGCGGGGCTGAGGTAAGAACATTTATGATTATGACACTCCTAGATGGCCGGAAATGTCACTCTCAGACCTTAATTCTTTATAATTTTGGAACAATTAAGAGAGGGGGTGGGTCGACTCGGCCCCACTTGAATCCGGCACTGATTATTATGACGTCATTGCGAGATTGCGTCAACATAACACTGGAGTTTGTAAACTCGTGGTATCACTATTTAAATAAATAGAAATAGATAGACCTGTCCGTGGAAAAGGTTTAATTACGGCTATATAAATTTCAATTGACTAACTCTAATTTTTGTTGAAATTAGGATAAACAGGAACCTATGTATGCAGATAATATTAAACACTAGTACGGGTCATAATAATATACAAAAGGAATAAATCGTTTATAGTAAAAATTGTGCACTTTTGAGTTTGTAATTGGCCTAATAGGTTTACATGCTTCCAATTTTAACAACATGTATATTGTTTTCACAATCAATTTAGCCTCTGATAATCTTTTCCGTGGCATCCATAAAATCGATGTATTGGTTGCTGAGATGGTTATGAACTGTAGAAACCATTGCTTTTTTACTCGGGCTTGGTCCGAAAATACGTACCGCACTTGTAAAGTGAACAGACAAAATTCATGACAGTCATGCGTAATTGTTATTCTTTCCATTCGCTTTGAAAAGTGGGGTTTTAATTAGAAGATTGGTGAAAAGTGGGGGGGGGGGAATTGATATAATTCCCCCCTACTTTGAAATGTGGGGGAACGTGTCCCCCTGTCCCCACCGATCGACGCCCATGGGTCAAGTTTCTCCCCCCACCCCATCGGACAGACCTCGTCGGGCAGTCGGACTTAACAATATATAAAAAATAGGCCCACGCCAAGCCAACACATGTCTGTCACAATTCTGGCCATCCCGAGGTTCCTATTTATAAAAGAAATCTCATTTGGGAGGGGAAACACCCTCTCAAACCCTTCCTCCAGCTCGGGCCTACGAGCCCAATTCCCCCTGTCGGACAGCTCAGCCCCCAGAATCCTAGAGCCGCCACTGCATAGAGGCCTAGGCACGTATAACTGATTATTTTTTACAATATTGCTGTATTACATTGCATAAATATAAAATCTATAAATCCAGACTTTTATTTATGCTTTGCTTATCAGATTTTATAAATATGAGTGGGCGGGGTACTTATAGGTTGGGGCCCCTGGAGGTCGGGGGTCCAGGTTCGATGAACTTACTTAACCTGCGGTAGTTATGCCACTGGTTGTGAAAATATTAAATAATGTGAGTTTAACATAATTTGTTCTTAGTATCATTTACATTTTTTTCAAATATTTGTTTTTCTCTTTCGTGGGTGCATCCCACCTTTTTTATTTTAACCATCACAGAATAATGTTATGCACATTCTGTAAATGATATGGAAAAAAATGAAATTAATATATAATTTTATTTTTGTTTTCTACCAGAATATTAATTTTGGTTTTTAAATAATGGGTTTATTAAAAATTTTATACCATCGTGAGATACATACATATATACCTATATAATTATAATTATATATATGTATATATACACACATATACTCATACAACACACGCATACACACACATACATACATACATACATATACATACATACACACACATACATATAATATATCATACACACATTGAAATACAATTCCAATTCAATGATTTAGCTCAGATTATCAATGCATTCAATTTTAATGTAGTGCATTCCTCCTTTGAGTACGGTACTAATACTGTACATATCAAGAGTTAAATATATACATATAATTAAAATAGATATTAAACAAAAAATATGGTAAAATAAAAGGCGCGAGGATAATACCAAAAACCTAAACGAAGCACCCCATGTATACTTTGTTATTAATTATCCGCGTTTTTTTTTTAAATATATAATTTATTTAATTAAAAATATTCTAATTTCCGATAAGACCTGAATACAGTTCAGGTTTATGAAACAATATTGGATAGAGAGGCTATAAACACAGAGTTTCCAATGATTATACCATAATATTTATTTATTTCTTTAAATACCACCATGTTTGTTCAATATAAATCCCAATGATCAATAAAAACATTTAAACATATACAAACGCACCTTCGTCAGGGGTATGGTGCTTAAATGTTAATTGTAGATTTCAAATTACGAAGGTTGAACTTTGACCATTTTTTGCTTTATCATTATTTAATAAAAATTCAAATTTTATCAAGTTCAAGTCCAAGCCTATGCTTGATTTTACTTTTGTAAATGCAAAATATGGGTATTGAAGTTACCTCATTATTTATTTCGTTAAACATACAAGTACAATTTACTCCACTGTACTAAATTAGGTGGAATAGAAAAACATGTTTCTAACAAAGAATACGTAAATTTACCCAATGATTATGGTTTTATATTCCTCAATTTAAATAACAAGTGTGCTTCATTCTCATGTAGTGTAATCAATTAAATTTGTAGCGAATAGATTCCATAATTTGTTTTTGTTGGAAGTATCATGTGAACAAATTTGCATCATAGAAGTCACCTTATTCTTCCAACATGCATGCCAATATATTGTATTCACCTATATATTACTTTTCCATTTGCTTTGCACTTTTGGTTGTTTTTGGTTTCTGTAAAAGTTAAATAGAAGTCTTTAACTCTTTTTTTCTTAAAATAGCATTATAATTTTTATTTTTTTTTAAATTATAGTGAGTTTCTTGTAAAAATATAAGGTCTGCTTCTTGTTCATCAATCAAACGTAGAGGTGCCATAACCATACATGGTGGGGCTGAGGTAGTCTATACTCGTCATCTGTGAAAGTACTCCCACTAAATGCACTCACAAATAACTGCGTTAAGATTGGAAATAAGCAAATATAAATAAAACATTTATTTCGTATTATTTATGTCGACAATCGAGCTAACTCTTGATTTAACAGTTCTTTAGTTTTCTCTAATTTTTCTTCCTGTCCGGATTTCTCATAAGCCTGACAGAGATTCTCCAAGGTTTCAGCAACACCTCTATTTTGAGGTTGCTGTGCCAAGACTTCCTTTCTGGTAACATAAGCTTCCTCAAATCTGTGTACAGCTTGCAGAAACTTCCCTGCCTTCAGTAGTGTCTCTCCTAACTGATGTAGTGTACCGGCTGTAGATGTGTGCACATCACCAAGTATTTTCCTACGAAGACCCAATGCTAAGTTGAAGTTTTTCTCTGATTGTTCATAATCCTTTTTCATAGCATAAACTTTCCCCCTGTTGTTGTGAATAAGAGACGTGTCGTGGTGATCTAGACCTAACTTGTATTGCATCGTGTAGGCCTCGTCAAGCATTTGCAATGCCTGGTCGTGGTCTCCACTCTTTGCATACTCCATGGCCACGTTGTTTATAGAGTTGATCTTATCACGCGATGGTTCCTTGTTAAAATGTTTTTTTGTTCGTAGAGACATTCTGTAAACAGGAGTAAACAGGATTATTAAAATCATTTTTACAGTTTCTTTTCTTTTTTTTTCTAATTACAATAGAACCCCTCCTTTAGGACACTCCTATTACGGGGACACTTTCGTGAAACGAGGGGACGTATTATATCTTTTAAAACTACGTCTAACCCTATTAAGGTTACACCCTTATTAAGGGGACGGGGATCTTTCCGAGTCTGCAATGTGGTCAAATCAATTTAACCCATATTAATCATTCAGCATTCTGACACCTTCTGAGCCATAAAGCTAACATCAAACCGTGTTTTCCTCTCAATCTTCAGAATGGACATGAGTATGCCTAGTCCATTTGTTACTGTGTAAATACGATCTTGTAAGTTTTGACCATTAACCATGTGATGTGATTTCTTGTTTTGTGTATTTTTATATAGTATTATATCTATACTGTACAGCCTGTACATTGATTTTTAAGTCGTTCCTCTACTCACGATATTCTATTTTGCATCCAATAGAAAGCTCAATTAAGATTGGTCATTAACATTGCACTTGAATCAAGAAACAATATCGGGAACATATACAACTTTAGTAGTTTTAATTACATATCTGTGGATTCATATCATAGAGGAATTATCTTTTGCATTGAAAATTATTTTTATAAATTATTTATAGCAACTCATTCGTAGGTCAAAAACCCGTATTAGGAGACAGTGTAACATTTTTTGTTAGTGTCCCCTGAATACATTTCTATTAAGGGGCACTCATTTTGGTCCCTAAGGTGTTCCCTTTAGTGGTTCTACGGATAGTCTCAATATAGGTGCTGAGATGACGTTATCTGTAGCTTTCAGACGAATACCAAGTGGCAGATTGCTGTGTGCTTGGATTCAATATTTTGACACCTCATTGAGTCATCATTTCGACTTATCCAAAATCTTCTTTTGTCTTTTGGATTTGAACAGGGCACAGTGTGAATATGAACAATGCCCACCACAAATTTTGTAATATAAGAAAACTGAACTCAATTTGAAAAGCTTGTCAGCAACGGTATTTGGCAATACTTCCCAGATGTTTTGGCGACAGGACAGCTATGAATGGTCTATACTTGGTATATACTTCTATATCCACAATTTTTCCCAAACGTAATTTGACTTACAAGATCTCGAAATTTAGCATTTTGCTGATGCTTTTGTCATGTTACACCTCAGTATAGCAATACCAGAATACCATGGTAGGCCTACTATTTTCAATGTACTGTGCGGACAGACACTATGTGATCTAGTACCTCTAAAGTGCCCATAGTCTAATATAATGTATTGTTTGATCAACATGATGATGTTAACTTGGAAATACAACTTTTATGTATAGTATGTTTCCCCATTCTCTTGGAATACTAGATATCGAATTCGTAATGTTTTCTTCTAACCTGAAATACTTCGTAGCTTCAAATTCACAGCCTCCGACCTGCAGGTAATAAAGCCCATAATTGTTGTATGTTTCTGCAATTACCGGATGCTCACCAAAAAGTTGTTTACGGATACACAGACTGGACTTAAGACATGGCTCAGCATTTTCTAACTCTCCTAGAAAACATAACCACGATAAATGTTATAATAATTGAAAACGACACCAAGAAAAAAAAGTGTGTGTATGGAAGTGTGTTTTCTTGTTACGATACGAAACCAGAGAGGTGAACAGGGCTCCGGGGAATGGAGCCGAAATATCATAAATAGTGCAGTAGGTGAGTAATCAAATTTGTTTATATACTTATTGTTATTACCACTACCACTGACACTAAATCTATAACGTTAAGAGGGTTGGAATGGCTAAAAATAAACAATATAAAACAATGTCATTGACTGTAGTTGTGAATAAATGTTATGTTAGAACTAAGATAAATAACAGCTACCTTCAGTAGACAAAGTTCCTTCTATTAATCTTATCTGTTACTACCCAGTTTAAGGATCTGTATCTATGTACCAATTAGTACCTGGATGTACTATGGTGGGAACAAGAAAAGTGGTCAGTTGTTCCTCAGAGTTGTTATGGATAAGATGTGCAGTATCTCCTCCAGTGAGGGAGAACTTTGTATATAGCTTGATGCATTTTTGAGTTGTTTTGTTACTGAGAATAAGGAATAAAACTTGCATTCAACCAGACCTGAGATCCTACAAGTAAATACATACATATATATACACACACACACACATATATATATATATATATATATATATATACATTTATACATATACATGTATATATATATAATATAGAGGATGTACTAAATTAATTAATTGCTTTGCTCAATGACACAAACGAATGCACAGAACGAAACCACTTGTACTTCTGTCTAATGGTTTTTAACCTGAAACACACCTTGACCATTTGGGGTTTTTGTGCAAACTCACCAATGAAGGTATAAACCTTTCCCAGTCTTGCCATTGTTGATCCACTGTGCTTGCTTAGCTTCAGTTGAAGTCGGTCTTGCATCTCGGAGGCCATTTTGAGATTTCTGTATAATGAGATTTTGTAATTTAATATTTATAAGGCTTTGAATGCAAAATTTCCTCATGTGCGCCTTTGTTGATTTTGTTGTTTTTGCTACTATTGCTACAGTATACGCAACACATTTTAATCATGGTTATTAATTAAATAATATAATTAAAATTAGTAATAGTAATGAACATTAATAATATATTTTCGCTACTACAGCATTTATATTTTAGAGAATTTTAGTATTATTAAACTTTATATTTTCATATATCTAGCAAAACTTTAATATATAATGTTTACGGTTTTTCATGATGTTACGACCAAATAAATAAAAAAAATCTTGAAACCTAAATCATAGTGAAACCAAAATTAATACCAACTAATAATTTAAACAATCGAAAAAGCGACTGTACTAATAGGACTTATTTACATTGGAGTCCTTTTTGTGGTGAATTAGACAGGCAGAACACCGGGAGTCAATCCCCGAATCTTCTCCAAAGAGTGTACTGCATTCCTTAACATGCTCATGGGCTGGCCCATTTGCACACGGAACCAGCAGCAAGCGCCTCAACTAAAAGGTGGTGCACTTTTGTGGAAGCGGTTTGGCGCAGCGTGAAAAGTTTGGTTTCCCAACCTCGAGGTCGGGGTTTCAATCCCTCGCTGTGCATTTCGCTTGTGTCCTTGAGCAAGGCACTTTATCTGCATTGCTTCTCTCCACCCAGGAGTATAAAAGGGTACCTGGTGGGGTTGCTTGCTCCTGCGCTGAATACAGCAGCAACAGCATGTGGATCCAATGACCAGGGAAGGAAGCGCTTCGTATCTGCAAAGAAAGGCGCTATATAAATAAATATGATTAGATTAGATTAGATTTTTGAGACGTGCGTTTCAGCCCTGCAACTGACACACAAGAAATCTCCACTGTAAGTGCACACGCAGTGGCTACCACCAGTTTAGACGACTGAGAAAAGTGCATACTCAATTGCATTTCTTTCTTTAGCCTGCATGTGTAAGTTCCACCCAATAGAAGTGTATAGTCTTGCCAATGCCTCACTATCTCCAAGAACTTCCAGTCGCGCTTTTGCTTGCATAAATTGCAAATAGGCTGGTATATAATTCCCTAAAATTAAAGAAAATTGGTTAAACATTATTACGAAGGTGTGGTAGAAAATTTCAGGCTTGGAACTCACCCCTTTGGCCATCACAAATATTCTTTAAATATACATAGATACCATGGACCTGTAGTTCCATCCCGTTTGATCTAATATAAAGCCAGAAGAACGCAACGTCTCGGACGCGCGCACAACGTATCGTTTTTAATGACGATAGACTACCGGCACACCGATAATCAGAAGACGACATCGCGCGTTGTCTAGCGCTCGCTGGGAGCGGAATTGGATTCATCGTACGAATGTCGTACGACGCAATGTATGTCCGGCTTTAGACTATGTGTATTATTTCAGATTTTCCACCCTAATCTGACCATATTACATTATTGGTTAGTAATAATAACGAGTAAATATAATCCAATGTTACTTTTCATTTGATATATTGTAACTTTCGGCACAATTGATTTATGTATTTCACTTTAATGTTTTTCATTAAAAAGTGAATAAGTCAAAGCTTAAACTGGGTTTAAATTCAAAACATAACTACATCTTTAAAGTAAGTCTCAAAGTGCTGCCTCATCATTAACTGTTATCAACATAAATAAATAAATTCATTATGTAACCCAGTCTTAACTGTGCTTCGAAAATCGAATTTTGTGATGACGATGATGAAGATGATGACGATGATGATGATAGTGAAGGTGATGATAATGATAAAAAACATATTACTATTTAATAATATTTAAAAACTTGCCTTTGATATTTTGGAGTGATGAACCATAATGCATTAACATCATACCCTGTTCATATGGTGTTCCCTGTATCTTGCTTGAATTAACACATGCCTCATAGAACTTAACTGCAGAATGCTTCGGTAAAACATTAATCAACAGGTAGTCAGCTTCGCACGCAAGCTGGATGTACCTGTTGTACCGGGTTTTGTCAGAACAGTTGGCTGCTTCAATCAATAGCTTGTCGATGTTCTGTATTTCTTGAGCAAAAAGTGGAAAGATCTTTTCCGGATTTTTATCCACCTCCGGTGTTAAACTGCGAACAACATCAGCAAAGAACTCACAAAAACGTTCTCGGGTGGTAAAAGTATCACGTAAGTGAGCTAAGTGTTTGTCAACACATTTTTGCACGAAACAATGAAAGTAGAAGCGGTCTTGCTCTCCGTCAATTTCAATGAGGGATCGTCTATATATCGGCAAAAGGGCAATTTGTTTAACACGAGCATCGCTACTTTCACCAAGCACGTGCCTTGCAGCTTTGGTGCCAAACCGTCCAGGGAAAAAGGCCAGTGTTGCTAAGTAGCACTTGTTGGACTTCGATAGTTTTTCAATAATTGACAATACACGGTATTGAGAATCTTCATGTGTTGTCACATGCCTTGGCAAACTGGTTCCATAACTGTAAGTAGTTATGAAGGAATTAAGAAGTCCGGGAATACCGGCACATATCCCAACAACGTCCTCTAGGGAATCGCTAGACATTTCATTTACAGTCTTCAAGATAATACTTTTACAAGCTCCTTCAGAGAGTTGTTGCAATTCCAAATTTAAAAACCGGCACTTGTAAAAACGGAACCGGAATGTAGAAGTGATAATAACCATGATGTTCTTTGATCCTGCAAGTAGTTTACACGTCTCAAGAAATTCAGTCTGTACGTCACCTGAGGCAAAATCCCCACAAAAATGCTCAGCATTTTCAAACACAAATACATGCTTACTATGTATATGTCCAAGTAATTCCCTGATGGTAAATGTGTCTAGCTTGTGAACTTTAACTGGTTCTATTGCTTTCAAAAGGATATCCTTGATGAAATATTTTGTTGACTGCATATTGCTCTGATCACGCATATTAATAATGTAAGTTATGCCAGGCAGTGATGCGACCACAAATCCTGCTAACGTGCTCTTGCCAATCATAGGTGGCCCACTTATTTGGATGATATTAATTCTCCTCTCAGAAACTTGTTCGAGTATTACAGACTTTTCTTTTTGTCGTCCCACAATCTGACAGTCTTTTATAGTTTGATTGTGTTCCATAATGCTCATAAATTACAGTTCACTGTACTGATAACCCAAACCTGTATTTAGAAAAATATCTCAACAAAAAATATTTTGAATTTTTCTTTAGCTACAGGGCTGACCACACTAACTTATGGCTATTTCGTAAAATAGTTTTATTTCTAAAAACATATAGATAGCGATAGGACACGTTTTTTCTGGTCAGTACAGTCCAGGCATAGTAATTTAATACTGTAAAAGGTAGCCTCGTGGCCTTTGTAGGAATTCTAGTCAACTCGGCCCTTAGTCAATTTCATCCCATGTCGACTCAGCCCAAGTTATCTCGGCCTATGTTAACTGGGCCCTAATGCAACTCGGTTCCAAGTCAACTCCGCCCTAAGTTAACTCTGCTGCAAGTCAACTAGGGGCTCCGAAATGTCGATTCGGACCTCAGAAAAGTCAACTATGATCAAAAATAAAAATCGTTTTCACTCGTTTGTATTTCAATTCATATTATTCGTATAATTCAAAGGATAAAGAATTCAATGTGATAAGATTCACAAAAGAGAGATGAATCAAATTATAAAAAGAGTGTAAGCCTCTAAATTGAACAAAAGTTTTTGTAGAATTAAATAATAGTTAGATACTGATACAATTATGTATAGGCCTAATTCAAATGTAATAGAAAAACAATGCAGTCAAGAAGAAAACATAAGAAGTGATCAATGTTTATTTTTGTTTCTCAAATCACCCGTTTCGTTTGTAAATGCAAAAGGAAAATTTAACAAGTATAAGCCTACAATTCAAAGATAATGATAGGATGTATTTCAAACGTACAGAAGAGAAATCTGACCACGTAAGAATGAAAAAGAATACGTTATATAATTTCCAGTAATAATAATAACAATAATCAATATTTGTAGCGCCTAATGTTAATAACTTCTAGGCGCTTAACAACAACACAATTAACGAAAATAAATAAATAAAACAACTGTTCTTTGTAAATATTGTTTATTTATAACACATTGCCATTATATAAAAAAAAACCACAAAAAATTGTTTCGTTCAATTTGATAAACAAACAAAAACCAAAAAAGGGTAGAACAGGAGTTGGTTTTGGTCCGTGTTGAATTGGAACCGAGTTGACTTGGGGCCAAGTTGACTTGAGGCCGTTGACTTGGGGCCGATTTGACTGGGGCCGAGTTGAACTGTTTTCCTTGGTAGGCATAGTACATATTAATATCATAGCCTAGCCTACTAAGTCTAAGTGTAGGATCGAACTCTTGTTGTTCTGGAAGTAACAGCTGTAGCAAAGAATCTATAACATAGGCCTAGGCCTACAGATGTGCCAGACAAGATTAGTCCTTGACTACTTCTACTAAACAACTTCATAATTCTGATAGGATGTTTCTCCTAGTCCAATCTCTAGTATTAGGCCCTATGTAGGCCTATAATATTCAAGTATCACTAACATCATGTCATTGACATTACATTCTTTCAAAACGATTCACAGAAAAAACAATAAAAATCAAGGATATAACATACCATGGAGAACTTAAAAGCAGACAAGTAAAAGCAGGATCTGGTTTTCTCAATGGTTCTGCTGGGCTTGCCCCACGGAAGTGTGTACAGGAAATACTAACTGTAGTATTCAATGGCGTCAATGGATGACGGGGATTTCCCTTCGAGAATTTTGATTCATGTTTTGATTACGTGGCGATAACTCAGATTCAGATAAACTCAGACTCAGATTCATATTTATTCACACAATGCATAAAGGTGGTAACAAGACAAAAATAATAAAGATGCAAGCAAAATCGAATGCAATTGTGTCTGGAGAAGTCAAATAAGCCCAAATGGCTTTATGGCTGGCTCCACCAGAGAAAAATGAAAAGTTATTTCTTCCATAATCAAAGACAAGACAAAACACGACGGAACGACAGAAGGAAAAACGACAATGCTTTAAAAAAAAAAAAAAATAACATATACATAGCTTTGAACATTATAAAGGTAGACAAGGGAAAAGAAGATAAAATGGGATTGGATAGCATGAAACAAATATGATTTAAATAAAGAAGATTAGTGGAGTTAAAGTCTGTAATTAGATATGAGGAACGATTTATATTCTGATTTAAATGAATAACTACTTTTCGAATTTGTTAGTGATGTGCTGAGGGAGTTCCATAATAGGGGGCCTGAATGTATTATTGAATTCCTGTTTGATGTTCGGTTAGATTGTATTGTGATGTATTTATTTGCATTCCTAGTATTATAGTTATGTAATTCATTGTTTTTTGTGAAGTATCCTTTGAAAGCATTTGGGAGTTTATTGTGGGAATACTGGTACATAAATAGGGCGGTTTGTAATTTATTTATGTCAAAGATGTTTAGAGTGTTGAGTTGGTGAAAGAGGGGTTTGGAATGTGATTGGTAATTGGATAGAGTGCAGATGCGGATGACCTTTTTTGGAGTTTGAACAGATTGTCTAGTTTGGATGTTTCGGTGCTAGTCCATGGACAAAGAGTTTTGAATTTTGCGTCCGTAACTGCCCAGGCGATATTGCAGTAGTGTAGATGTGGGCGCACTCCAACAAATTCGATAAATACGAACGCTACATGAATGAAGTTCAGTTTTTGTTTTTGAATTTGATCTTATGTTTTTCAATATGCAGATGTGTGTATTATTGTAGTGTATGTGGATTTTTCATGAAAATTTTCTTTCATAACAATATTCTGTATATTACTGCTGTATTATAGTATACGGAAGCCCGTTAGTGTCAACAGTGAATAAAAATTTCAAATCAGTTAACTGGCGGCCGCCAGATAATCATCTGGCGGCCGCCACTTAATTATCTGCCGGCCGCCACTTATTTATGGGTACCCAGGTTGCGGTATAGCATTATCTCGATGTAGAACAGGCCATTAAAGCGCATGATTTGCCTAGCATTTAATATACGGTAGCATTTAGCCTAGCTATTCATTTTAGCTACAGCTTGTAATAGCTTATAGGTCTAATAGCAGTCATATAGCCATTCACAAAATATATCTATATCTTTGCTGTAGCACATCAACTGTATTATTATGTTCTATTTTGCTGTTTATGTGAGTGTGATATTGTCTGTTATAGCTGGGTTAAATATTAAAGGGCATTAAATAGTGATTAAAAGCATACAATTAGCTGGTCACCAGCTATACCTTATAATGGCAGTCATATAGCACCCATTTCAAAAAGTGTTAGCAATTACATGGTTATGTATTAACTAGCGATTAAAAGCATGTTCGTAGCTGTTATACAATAGTTATAGCTTATAATAGCAGTCATATAGCACCCATTTCACAAAATATAACATCACTAGGAAGCATTAAATAGCGATTAAAGGAATGTCATTAAATAGGCGTTTGCGATGATAGGCGTTAGGTTTAAGCACGTCATCAGGCGTTTGCGACGATAGGCTTTAAGGATAAAAATGTCAGCCATTTTACCATGTCCGCTAATAAATAGATGTTCGCACCAGCCATTGCATATTAATGAAGAGGAATTAGGGTTAATAAGATTTTCAGACTGAGTCGCCAGTAGGAACTGTGTACGCTAATGTATAGGCATTTTCACCGGTCATTTGCAATTGAATAATTATGTTATTTTTCCTATTTGTTATCGTCGCAAACGTCTTTTCAATGGTAAAATACTGACGTGCTCCAGACTTAATCCACAAAATAACCATATAATCTATCGGCGCAAACGCCTGACGTGCTAAATTCTAAAGCCTATCGTCCGCAAACGCCTATTTAATGGTAAACCAGTGACGTGCTTAACCATAACGCATATCTTCGCAAACGCCTATTCACCTGATCTGCTCAACTCTAATGCCTATCATCGCAAACGCCTATTTAATGATAAACTCCTGGCGTGACTAACCCTATGCCTATCGTTGTAAACGCCTTTTAAATGGTAATGTGCTAAACTGCTTAACAGTACCGGTAACGCCTATCGGCGCCAACGCTTGACGTGTTTAACTATAACGAATATCGTTGCAAACGTCTGTTCAACGGTAATCTGCTGACGTACCTAACCCTATAGGCGCAAAGGCCTTCAATGGTAAATGGTAAACTGCTGGCGTGCTTAACTCTAACGCCTATCATCGCAAACGTTGTGTAAAGAATGCATAAACCATTGTGGCAGCTACTAACATGCTTTTAATCAGTGACTGCTATATTTTGTGATATTAGTGCTATAATATAATTGATATTATAGCTAGATAGTGACCAGCTACCATGCTTTTAAACACTACCGTATTTAATGCTTAATTTTAATCGCTATTTAATAGGCTACTTAACCCTGTAATTGCTAATATTTGTTGAAATTGGTGCTATATGACTGCCATTATAAGGTATAGCTGGTGACCAGCTACTAGTATGCTTTTAATCACTTAATGCCCTTTAATATTTAACTCAGCTCTAACAGACAATATCACAATGATATAAACAGCAAATGTAAGACATTTGATGTGCTACAGCAAAGATATAGATATATTTTGTAAAATGGCTATATGACTGCTATTATAAGCTATGACAAGCTGTAGCTAAAATTACTAGCTAGGCCTATTACGAGCATGCGCTTTAATGGCCCGTTCTACATCGAGATAATGCTGTACCGCAACCTGGGTACCAATAAATAAGTGGCGGCCGCCACTTAATTATCTGGCGGGCGCCAGTTAACTGATTTGAAATTTTTATTCACTGTTGACACTAACGGGCTTCAGTAATAGTACACTAAAATACTTTAAAAAAAAGAGTAACTCTTGGAGTTACCGTGTTATGTCGTTGATCTCGAAAAGTAATACCATTTTCTAGAGGACGCCCTTCAAATGACTGTAAAAGGCGTTCGTGGCGAACACGTACTGCATCTCTATAACTCCTTCGAGTTTCGAACGCAATTTTGTTCGAGTTCTGAACGCTATTCGATTTTCAATAGAGCGCCCCCACCTAGTGGTAGTACCCATCATTCCTCCACCGGATTTACCCTTTTCCGCCATCTTTAATTGCTACATCATGACATGGTGTCTACGGCCCCCGACGGGGCAGTAGACACAAAAAGGAAAGCTTTCAGATTGCCCCTGAACACAAACATTCACATTTGGCGAGTTCCGTATTTCAATGTGGACAATTTTTTTCCATAACTGTGCAGCACAGGTAAAAAAACGATTCCCGAAAGATTATAATTTCCATCTTTGTGTTTAAAACCGGGCGTACAAAAAGACCGAAGACCCGAAAAACAAAGACCCACATTTTTTTTTCTCTCAATCGTGATAATAAAATAGGTACTTGACAAGTTTTAGGATGATTTTGAAATACCTTCAATAAGATAATTGAGAAATAATGGAAGGTCTTCGTTTTTCGCGTCTTCGGCGGGAACAGGTCAAAACGGTAAAAAATAAAACGGCAATAAGTGAAAACGGCAATGACCAAAACGGCAACACTTTTAGACCAGAACAGCAATGGACCAAAACGGCAATAAACCAAAACGGCAACACTTCCAAAATGACATACTCTATATGGTTACTGGCAAAATGGCTAAATAAAATACTACTAGGCCTAGAGAGTCTAAGCCGAGGGCGTAGACTAATCATTATAGTTATTGTTATGAAGATGTACTGTACATAAATATGCGGTTATATAATCGCCTAAAATTGCAGAGAAAAAAATAATAAATAAAACGAAGAAAAAAGTATATGCACTTGTATGTACGACGTTGTCTTATAATTATCAATAGAAAATCATCCATTATAAGAAACGTACACAGCACTTAATAATGATATTAATAGCCTATTAATAATAATAATGATGGCGAAGTCGTTGTTGTACCATAAACGGACCCGCTTGATGACTTGTTTAGTTGACGACTATAAGTAGGCAACACAGTTAATAATTGAATCACCAAATCAACACAATAGTTTGCTTAAAACGCCCTTTTTTTAAATTAAATAGTTATTGAAAGTAAAGTTCCATAGCGTTAACTTTGAAAACCCACTCATGATTTCGCACCTTATTAATGTTAATGTTTTATTTATTTATTTTATTTTTTTTATTCCAGTATAAGATTAGCAATCAGCAGCCAATGGCCGAATTTGATTGCTTTGCATTAAGAAACATAGGCCTATATAGGCCTATATACAGGCAATAAAAAACTTGCATCTGTTTATGATAGTATTTACCTCAGATTTTGAAGGTTTTATTTTAATTGCTGTTACTAATATAACAACATTAAAAAGTACAACTCAAATAAAATTAACAGAGACCATTATGATTCAATATTTATTTTGGTATATCACTAGTTCAGTTTATTTCTCATCATCAAAACATTGTACAAAACAGATAAAATTCGCCAAGGCAGGACAAAAAATATTACAATGAGAGATGATGCAAGGATGGTCTATGAAAGCTTCTTTTTTAAGAAGTAAAACTTTATTCTAATGTGGCACTCATAAAACAAATTATAAACATGAAAGTGTAGGCCTACAACGATAAATACGGTGAAAATGAGGCTAAATTGTCATAAAAGTAAAAAACGCGAAAGAAGAACAAAATTAAATAATAATAATAATAATAAATAGGCCTAATAATAATAATAATAGGCTTAATAGTATAACATACAAATTCAATAGTAAAAAGATTAGGGGAATCACAATATAAAAGCAGTAAACAACAACAACAGCAACAGCAGCAACAGCAACAACAACACCAATACAACATACAAATTCAACAGTAAGAAAGATTGGGCAATATAATATTGTACAATATAAAACCAATGAACGATTCAATAATTAAAACCTAAAAATACAGATAATATGAGGCTAAACAATTTATGCCATGAAAGTAAAAAACGGGAAAGAAAAATAATAATAATAATAATAATAATAATAATAATAATAATAATAATAATAATAATAATAATAATAATAATAATAAGACTTTAAAATAACGAAATAATTCGTCATGGATATGTAATAAAAAAAAAAACCGGTGGCGCTTCAGTCTTGGCATTGATTTGCTCCTTTGCCGTTTTGGTCTATGCCTATTGCCGTTTTGGTGTTGACATTGCCGTTTTGGTCTGTTGCAGTTTTGGTACTTATCATTGCCGTTTTGGTTTATTGCCGTTTTGGTCATTGCCGTTTTGTCCAGAAACCTCTTTGGTCTTCGTTTTTTAGACACCCATATAGGGTGTCTATAAAACGAAGACCCTTGAAAATTTCACAGACGGCCAAAAAATGTAATTTTGATTTTGTGACAGCCTGGCGTAGGATCATCAAAATAAAAGAGAAAAAATAGGGGTCTTCTTTTTATAGACTCTGTATAACCGAAGGGATCTTGATGGTTGCAAATACTGAATGACGTTGCGTATGTATAGTTAGGGGCACCACAATTGAGAGCTTTACAAGTTAACAATAAGATTTTGAATTCAATGCTGTAGTAAACTGGAAGCCAGTGGAGATCTTTAAAAACTGGTGTGACGTTATCAGACTTCCTCTCTTTAACAATTATTCTGGCAGCTGCATTTTATGCTCTTTGAAGATGTAAAGTTAATGTATCAGGCAGTCCATACAGCAAGGCATTGCAATAATCAAGTCTTGACGATACCAAGGCATGAACGAGTATTTCACGTGTATGCTGCGAAAAATACTTCCTGATTTGTCCAATCTTTCGAAAGAAAAATAAAATTGAACGAAACATAGGCCTATTCATGACATGTTGTTAGTAAGTAAAGTATCAAAAAGTTAATCCAAGATTCCTGGCTGATGTTACAGGCTGAATGAGACAGGAACCAATGTCGATGCCAGAGTTATATCCTTTGATGTCCCGAGATGTGCGTCCTTCTGTTGAATTGCCTTGCCTCAACTTTTAATAGTGAGCGATTAATCTTGACTGAAAAATTACAACTTCCGTTTTTGAATCATTAAGCTTTAGTTTATTCTGTGTCATCCCCTTCTTTACAGCACTAAAGCATACCTCAACTGAGTTGATAACAGCAGAAATATCGGAGTGAGAGAAAGATATATATTTGAGTGTCATTATTATTATTAGTGTATATGTAACATGGTTCATACAATATAACCACGTTAAGGGGACACCTTCGGGACCAAAAAAAATATCCCCTTAATAGGGGTGTCCCCTAAATCTGTGAATAACGAAATAACGAAATTTTATTTCAGATTTAGTTGGATTTAGATGATAAAAGCCACACTAGACCTTATAAGGACCTCATAAGGTATAAGGTTATATCATATATGATAGTGCTTCAATATGACGGTACAATATTCCGTACTCGCGCGAATAGGCTCCCGGGCGCTTCAAATATATTTTGCACTTTTTGAGGGGGGCTTATTCAACCAGGGCGCTTATTCGAACGGGGCGCTTATCAAAACAGAGTGGAAATTGAGGTGGCGCTTATGAAAATAGATGAAAATCGAAGGGTTCTTATGGGAACTTATTAAATTCAAGAGGCAGATTTTGAATGAAAAACGATTATATAAGGACCTCAGGAAACCGCAAAATTACGAATGGTGGTGCGGCGGAAAAGGTAATCGTCCAGAGAGCACGGCTTGTCATGACAAGAATGTTGTGAATTCAGTATTACGTAATAGCAGAATAGCAGATAAAATTAGTGGTGGTGGTTAGCTTCTTGGCTATTGGCCGATTGAGATTAACAGGATGGTATGATCATTGCAGGTTTTCTTGAAAACCCAGATGAGAATGTGTTAGGTGCAAATTGTCGGAAAAGCAGTAGGACTAGGCTATAGAAAAATGTAAAAAGATGAAAGTTGGAAATATACTGTCTATCTAGGGAGCTCTCATCTGTCCAAGATAAATATCCTCATTTTGATATTGACTAAAGGAGAATGTGATTCCACTCCACACCTCAAATCATGCCAACATCCACAGTCCAGGATTGATTAAATTATTGAGGGGGTGTTTATTCAAACGGGCGCTTATTCGCGCGAGTACGGTATGTTGCATCTGAGACAAATCTGTAATAAATAAATAAAATAAACATTAGCACTATCACATACTGTATTCCATAATTAATACAAAAAACTTTTAATTATAATGAATGTAAATAAGAAAAAAACTTTGAGCACCTATTTTTGGTGGTGATGTTTGCGCTTTAAAAATCGTTATTATTATTATGATTATTATTATTATTATTATTATTATTACTATATTTTCTGTTTTCTGTCGCAGTCTAACGGCAGTAGACATGAGGCACTAGACCGAAGCAGAAGCTGCTGTTACATCGAATTTGCCAGCGTGTTTCTGCGTAAACGCACTAGTGAAAGCGACGCTGCCTCGACATCAGTTGTTGAAGAACCAATCCAAATTATATACCTTTTTTGGCAATTTCAAAATCATTTACCAGTCAGATATACTTTTAATAAATAAATCTTTTATAATTATTAACACTTATAATACTTGCAAATCGTTGACGCACACTGACACATATACCCTAGTTGAGTCCTCTGTCAATATTGATTCAGAATCAGATGGAAATTAACAATAACCAACTGTCTTCTTATTGGCAATAAGGAATCCAATCCAATCCAATCCAATGAGAACATTTGTAAAGCGCCTTTCTTTGCAGATACGAAGCGCTGCACCCCACATATTTAGGCACCTCACAACCTACAAGTAGCCGTGATCAACGCCTAACCCAAGCACAGAACAAGTAAACAAATCAAAAGAAGGAGTGGCAAAGCTTGTAAATATGGGTAAATAATGCAACAATAAAAATAAAAATAAGAATAAAAATGGAATAATTAGTTAAAGAGATGAGTCTTTAAGTTAGACCTAAAGACAGCCACATATGGTGAAGATAAGAGTGGCGCCTCGCATGAAAAAGATGTGTTACCAATACGCTTGTTAAAGATAGGTTGATGGAAATTAACATTCAAAGCTGATCTCGTACGAATTTGCTTTTTACGTACAAGTAAAAAGTCAGAGATATATTGTGGGCATAGGCCAGACAGTGATTTGAAAGCAAAAACCATTAATTTGAAATAAAGCCTTTGCCTAAAAGGCAGCCAGTGAAGTTCACGAAGAAGATGTGAAGTGTGAGTATGAGAGGATCGGATGTTAAAAATAAGACGTGCAGCAGAATTCTGCAACTTCTGTAATTTTAGAGAATCAGTTACAGTCAACTCAGAGTACAATAAATTGCAGTAATCAATTCTAGACAAAACAAGTGCAAGAACTGCTGCATGACAGGTGTCATAGTAAATAAATTTGCGAATCCTCCATAAGTTACGTATATGGTACTTGGTCATTTTACAAACTGACTGAACTTGATTAGAGAGCGACAGCGTGGAATCAAACGTGACACCAAGATTTACGGACCGAGTTAGTGGGTAGAATGTTAAGTTCACCAAGTGACAGAGAAGCCTGTCTAACGTGATCAAGCTCTAAGTGCCTCTTGGAAGCACAAACAATGAATTCTGTTTTGTTATTATTAAGTTTAAGCTTATTCTTAGCCATCCAAATCTTAACATCCTTGATACATAACCTAAGCCTATCCAAAGCCAGATCAACGGAAGAGGGAAGAGAAGGATCAAAATCAAGATACAGTTGTAGATCATCAGCATAAAAATGATATTTAATACAATGACGCCTGATGATGTCTCCAAGCGGACTGATGTATAAGCTAAATAGAGCAGGACCAACTACCGAGCCTTGTGGAACCCCAAAAGTTAATAAGTGTGGATCTGAGTAATTATCATCAACACAGACACGACAACTCCGGTTGGTGAGATAGGAATCAAACCATCTTAAGGCATATCCTGAAAATCCAGAAGAAATATTTAGACGATTAATAAGGATCTTATGGTTAACTGTGTCAAACGCCGCCGACAAATCAAACAAGACTAATAAGACACCTCGATGTTTATCAATCGAGACAGCAATGTCCGTATACACCTTGAGTAATGCTGTCTCAGTACTATGGAGTGGACGATACGCCGACTGCAAGTGTTCAAGAAGTTTGTTTGAAGTAAGATAAGCATTAAGAGGAATCATTGCCGCTTTTTCAATAACTTTTGAACAAAAAGACAGGTTAGATACCGGTCTGAAGTTGCTCAAAACATTGACATAAAGGCCAGTTTTCTTTAAAATTGGTTTAACCACAGCGCACTTATCAAAATCTGGAAAAACACCAGATGATAATGAGACATTTACAAGCTTTGTAATCAAAGGCAGAATAATATTAATATGCTTGCTGAGCAGCTCAGTTGGACAGTCATCAAGACATGATGATTTAGCTAAGCATTTCCTAAGCAGACATAATGTATCCACGTCTGAGATAGAAGAGAACTCAGAAAAAGCCACAGAACAGTGAGCATCATAGGTGGGATCGCCAGGACAAGGATCCAATGTGTCAGGCTCATGGCGAATATCAGCAACCTTTCCAACAAAGAGTCGGCAAACCTATTAGCTAAATCTTGAGGACAATCAAAATCAGGCAGTGATTTTTTGTTTCGATTAAGTAGACAATTCAATGCATTGAATGAAGACTTCATATCAGTGCAACCAGATAACAAATTCCTGAAGTGAATGACGTTAGAGTCAAGAACAGCAGCTTTGACACACCGTCTAGCAGCATAGAAAGTGTCACGGTTAGTGTCAGAATTGTCTTTCATGAATTTGCGCTCACACTGTCGGCGAAAACGACGTGCCTGAACAATCTCTTCATTATACCATGCAGGATCCTGTGGTTTTTTTTACAATCCTGGTCATTATTGGTGCAACTTGATTGAGACATTCAGATAAGGCAGACGAAAAACCAATAGCCATGTCATTCACAAAATCATCACCAGCCAATAAGGGTGAAAGTTTAGAGGTCAAATCGAGCTCAAACTTCTCATGGTCTATCATACCTAAAGGGCGATAAGAAATGGTTTAGGGAACACCTTCCGGCTTAGTGAGATCAAATAAGCACAAAAAACAGAATGGTCAGAGTGATGATTCCGATGGATAAAGTGCTCGACAATTTGAACATCAGGCGACCTGACAATAAGAGGATCTAAAATGTGTCCAGCATCATGTGTGGATTCAGTAACAAGCTGAACAAGACCAGCCGATGAAAGTTGGGCATTAATAGTAGCAACATGTGTTTTATATGGGCAGTCAAAGTGGACATTAAAATCACCAACTAAAAACAACTTACCAGGTAGCAGATTAACCTGTTCAATGAATTCTTCAAATTCACACCCAAACTGTGAAGAAGTGAAGTGGTTTCTCGTAGATGGAGGAGGACGATAAATGACGACCAAGAATGATTGTCGAGAGGCATCAGTGATGATGGCATGCTCAAAAGTCATAAATTGGGATTGTAAATCGAAGGGCAGAAGTTTGAGATTGTTCCTAGACAGAATAAAAATCCCCCCACCAGAAGTGTAAGAATCACGTGGGAAGAGTTAAAGGCAGTGTAGCCAGGGGTGTTAAGTAATATAAGTAATAACCTAGGCTAACATGAATAAAACAAACAAAGTTAACAAGGAAGTTCATTAGTATGTCAATCAAATAGACAAAAGACAGTGAGGAAAGGATGAATGAAACCAGCACAGATTGAGAACAAGCTAATTACCATATCAATTGCCAGGAACAATAGACCAGCTAGGCCAGGTAACTGTAAACCAGAGTGAACAGGCACACAGGGAGACAGAGTCAATAATCCCCCAAGAAAGACAAAAGGAGGTGAAAGAGAAAATTAGGCAGGTGGCCTAAAAAACAAGTGTTCAAAATAACAATAAAAAACACATCACGATACAAAACTTTAAGCCACTAATTCAAGTAAAATGCAATACTTATCAAGTTTATGGGCAGAACAGCAACCAACAACCACTAGGGAAGGAGAATGCAGCATATACATATGTGAGCACTATAGCTGCTTGACACAAGCGCTGGGTGCTAGATGTAGGAATACTACTTATTTCTTGAATGTCGATAATCGACCTATCTCTTGACTTAACAGTTCATGGGTTTTCTTTGCATTTTCTTTCTGTCCAGATTTCTCATAAGCCTGCCAAAGATTTTCCAAGGATTCAGCAACACCTCTATTTTGGGGTTGCTGTGCTAAGACTTTCTTTCTGACAACATAAGCTTCCTTAAACCTGTCTGAAGCTTGCAGAAACTTCCCTGCCTTCAATAGTGTTTCTCCTAACTGATGTAGCGTACCGGCCGTAGATGTGTGCACCTCACCAAGTATTTTTTTCCGAAGATCTAATGCTATAGTGAAACTATTCTCCGAGTTTTCATAATCCTCCTTCATTGCATACACTTTCCCTCTGTTGTTGTGTATAAGGGATGTATCGTGATGATGCAGACCAAGTTTGTATTGCATTGTGTAGGCCTCGTCAAGCATTTCTAGTGCCTGGTCGTGGTCTCCACTCTTTGCATACTCCATGGCTACGTTGTTTAATGAGATGACCTTATCACGTGATGGTTCCTTGTTAAAATGTTGTTTTGTTCGTAGAGACATTCTGTAAAATCAAAATCAACATTATTTTAATTGCTAATCTACTGTGGCTTACTAGACTCATTCGAAGCGATAACAACTCTCTCCACGAACCCTGCTGGGATTTTTTATTCTGAGACCATGGACCAGGCTCTAGCATTGCCCCTTGGTTCAGCCCCCTCCACACTTCTCGGACATGCCGCACCCTCTGTCGACACATTTGTGGACCCTGCACCCATGAATGAGTTTTCTCACCTAAAATACTTGGAAGCTTGAGATTCACAGCCTCC